GGCAAAAACTAGCCAGTAGAGTACCAAATACATTTTATGAGGCCATTGTTACCCTGAAATCCAAACCACCTAAAGAACCAACAAGGAAAGAAAATTATAGACCAATTTCCCTTATAAACATAGATGTAAAACTTGTCAATAAAAGACCGAAAACAAAATCTAAGAACCCATCAGAAAGATCATCCACCATGTAGGCTTTATCTAAGAGAAGCAGGGATGGGTTAATATACAAATATTAAGAAATATAATTTATCATATAAACAAAGAGAAAGGAAAAAATTTACATGATCATCTCATTAGATGAAGAAAAGCCTTTGAAAAAAATCCAACACCCACTTCACGATAAAAGTCCTGCAGAGATAAGAGATACAAGGGACATACCTAAACAAAATAAAGGCAATTTTTCAGCAAACCTACAGCCATCATCAAATTAAATGGAGAAAAACACAAAACTGTTCACCTAAAATCAGGAACAAGACAAGGTTGCCCACTCTCACCATATCATTCAATATAGAACTGGAAGTCTTAAATAAAGCAATAAGACAACTGAAGGAGATAAAGGGGATAGAAAGTGGAAAGGAAGAAATCAAGTGTTTTTATGCAAATGATGCAATAGTATATGTAAGTAATCATAAAAATTGCACAGGGGAACTCCTAAAGCTGATAAATACTTTCAGCAAAGTAGCTGGATACACAATTAACTCACAAAAATCAGTAGCTCTCCTATGTACAAACGACAATAGAACTGAAGAAGAAAACAGGGAAAGAACACCTTTCAAAATAGCCTCATCTTATATAAAATATCTTGGGGTAAACACTAACCAAGCAAGTGAATGACTTATGATAAAAACTTCAAGTCTTTGAAGAATGAACCTGAAGAAGATATGAGAAAATAGAAAGACTTCCCATAGATATGAATCGGTAGGAATGACCTAATAAAAATGGCAATCCTACCAAAAGCAATCTACAGATTCAATGCAATCTCCATCAAAATCCCAACACAATTCTTTACAGACCCTGAAAAGACAATTCTCAACTTAAAACGGATAAACAAAACACCCAGGATAGCTAAAGCAATTTTGAATAAAAGAACTGCTAAAGGTCTCACTATTCCAGATTGTAAGTTGTACTAAAAAGGTATAGTAATAAAAACTACATGGTATTAGCATAAAAACAGACACATCAATCAATCGAACTGAGACCCAGGCATGAACCCACACTCCTCTGGACACCTGGGTTTTGATAAAGATATCAGAAATACACACTGGAGAAAAGACAGCTTCATCAACAAATGGTGCTGGTCAAACTGGGTGTCTGCATGTAGAAGAATGCAAATTTATCTATACTCATCATCCTGCACAGAACTCAAGTCCACATGTATAAGAGACTGTATGACCCTGCTCTGTGAAAAATGTTAGCTGCTGAGTGCTGAATGCTGACTGACACACAAGCCACAGCCAAATGCGCAGCGTCTCAATCCTCTTAGCAGAGTAAAGAGAGACAACTAGGTTTGCACTTACCAACATGAGAGATTGCCCAATTGGAACTTTCAATGTTTCAAGATAAGATCTCCAAATTGTACACCCAACAATTTAGTTTTCCTTCATTCATATGGTATGAATTAATGCATACTGGGAAAGTACACAGAAAGGCACTCACCTTGCCTACAATCAGAGCCTTCATTATAACAGAGACACCTGCAGGACAATGACTTTGATAACCTCTAATCTAGCTATAGTGTAGCCTATTTCCCCTGCAGTGTACATAATAAACCATTCTTTCTATTCTGGTCTCAATGGAGAAGCCATGCTCCACACACAAATACTTTTTCCTGTTAGTGCAATGGAAAGCCCACTCTGTGATTCAAATGTGTACTTTTAGGAGTGTGCAGTGCTACAAATCTTTAATCAAGAATTGAGAAGGTTGAGGCAGGAAGACAGCAGGGTCAATTACCTATGGACCAAAACACTGGGATCAAAGCAAAGAGAGTCAACATAACAAACTTTGTCTCAAACTATTTTTCTGGAAGCTTGAAGGTGCAACTGTTCTGGAATTAATATGCCTTCCCAATAAGAAATTGTGCCATACACTTAGAGATTAATTGAGAAAGGTCTCTTCAGTAGTTACACGCCTCCAGCTTTACCTAACACACAAAAGAGGAGTTGGCCAGGAACAGATTTGCTAACTTATATACACCATAGCCTTATGCATTCCACATATGTTGTCAACCTGGAGGAATGCTGTTTACTGCCCTCTTGCTATCATGGCTTGCTCAGTTTGATTACTTATACACTTGGAATAATAACCTGCCCAGGGTAGCACCACTACAGTGGGATGGACCCTACTACATAAATCAAGAAAATACCCTATAGATTTGCCAACAGGCCAGTCTGACTCTAGCTTGTGTCAAGTTGACAAAATCTAACCAGCACACCTACCAAGTCATATTCCAAACCCCAAAGACAGATTGTTAAGCAAACCTCAACTCTCTTAACACTTGCTTTTCTGCTACAAGCCACAAAAATATACAAAGTGGGATTTCAGCTGATTATGACAAAGCTAATACCTGGAAGAAGCCAAGGGCCTTCCAGAGGTCAAGGTGAATCTCAGGGAGCCTTGGTGATATTTGGCTTTTGATTATCAGCCATTTCCTGCTATGAGTTTCTTGTGTGCTATTGTAGCTTTTCCATCATTTATTGGGCACAATTTCCCCTCTACTAAAGGAATATTTAGATAACCTCATGCACTGACAGCTATGCAGATCCAGAACCCCAGTTCAAGCCTCCCGGTAATTATCACCATTGGCAGCATCCGGCCAGGTCTATCCACAGATGGAAGAAAATACCTTATCAGAGATACCTCTGTACTCTCTAAGAACAGGCTTAAGCATCCAGACTACCCATTTGAGAAGGCCTGATGGATGTGCCAATTAAGCTTAACTACCTCCTTTCTCAAATCTTTCCTCCAGTTCCAGATCTCCCTTTAACTATCACCAGAGGCATCTAGCTGTACACAGATTGCCTAGCGACCAAGCACACTTTCCACCACCCTGCAGAAAAATGGCAGATAGCTTGGACAGATAGGAGACACAGGAAAAAAGTAGGCAGTTTTATTTTCTCCCATTGACCTAGCAACTTATAGATTCTTAACATTTTCTACCAATCACGTTTAAGATTATAGTTGAGCACATAAGATCCTGCTTCTTAGATATTACCCAAATTTAGCCTTTAGTTAATTCATTTCCCCATTGGTCACTTCCCTTTTGGGTTGCAAATGATAATTAACAATTACTGCCCCTCTATGTGATTCTTATCACCCCTCCGTTTGATCCTGTAAAGCCTGGCTTTGCACTGTCAAGGGATTACTACTTGTAAGTGTATATATACCGGGACTCCCAGGGCACAGTAGGACAAAGAAGATTTGGAAGAATAAATGACTGGACTAAGAGCTCTGTGTGCTGAGGTTCTATTTCCCAAAAATAGTTCTCACCATTTGTAGTTTTCTTTCCTGGGCCCCTGGGATGTATAATATTAAGGCTAGTCCCTCTTATATTATACAAGACTTTTCGGCATATACTTGTGCACATACACCCATGAAGTTGTCAAGTTTAGGACTAGAAAGATGGCTCAGCAGTTACCACAACTTGTTGCTCTTGTAGAAGTCCCGGATTTGGTTCCCAACACTAACATGGAGGATCTGATGCCTCCTTCTATCTTCTGTGAGCACAAAACACATATGTGGTGAACATACATACATGCAAACAAATCACTCACACACACAAAATAAAATACAAAAAAATTAAAAACATATACCCTCATATTTTATGTTATCGGAGGTAAATAAGCCAGAAATACACAGAAATGTGAAAAATATCTGTAGCCAAAATTATAACTTTATAATTAAAAGAATTAAGGAACTGGATCAAAGGAGAGAAATTCCATGATTATAGACAGGAAGCCTCAATATTACTTCAGTACAGAACTTGAGCTATAAATTCACCAACAGTCCAATACAAAGGTCTAACAATTTTTGTTATCAACAGAAAACTGATGAGAGAAGGTCATCATGAATGAAAAACTGGTCAACACAAGATTGAGTAAACAACACACACAGTGACATGATCTGACTTCAAAACTCATACAACTTCAAAACTCATACAACTGCAATAAAGACAGTACTACCTGGGGAACAATAAAGAAACCAAGAGAGCATGAGAGCAAAGTTAGAAATAAAAAGCACAATTACTATAGAGCAAAATGTGTCACATTAGGCCAGGAAACCCAGTGAGTATGGCATGACTGACACACGTGAATGGACGGACTACCCTGGCATCCGCATGCAAATGGGTTAATGACACAGACTTTATGCCCTGCAAAGAACTAACTGCACGCCGATCCTACACCTGAATGTTCAGGGCCAAAGTGCAGAACTTCTAGAAGACACTAGAGTGACCAGTGAGTGCTCAGTGAGGTAGCGAATCCGCCTTCTGTGGCGACAGTAAAAACAGCGCACGCGCGTGCACTGCCTGGTGACGTCACAATAAGGAACTATTCACGCACAGCACTCATATCCCGGTGTTCTGTGCAGTCGCTGCTGCAGCCATAGCCGCAGGTTGTTCGGAGGCCGCAGGATCCGGGAGTTGCAGGGACAGCAGACAGCTCCAGGAACTTACGGACCTCACAGGGCACCGCCTCCGCCAGTTCCGCCCGTTCCCACAGCCTCGGGACCCCACACCGGCTCCCTCGGCTCCTCCCCACATGGGGACCGCGGGCCCGTGCTCACCATGGTGGATTCCGAGCTGCCCAGCTCTCCTCAAAGCTCCCGGCAGCCGGTCACAGCGCAGCACACGGAACCACAGAGCCTCCCACAGTCTTGAAGCCGGCGAGCATGCAGCATGATGGACCGGAAATGCCCTCCCTTATTCTGACTAGCAGCCAAACTGGAAGCCGTGATTGGCTAGTGCGTCCTAAGTGACAGGCGCACCCCCTAACCCCCGTCCCCTCCAGCGACGGTGTTTTGAAGGGACGCAGCACAGAGGTTCCCAGCCACGATGACCACTCTAAGTACAGAACTGTCCCAGATCTGCAGAATTGGTATTACAGCAGAACTTGCACCTGGGACTGGAAGGTCGTCCTTGCACTATTCATGGAATAAGTAGGCATTTCTTCTTCCTCCTGGGTACAGGTTATTATATCTCAAATCCACTACAAAAGGCTGAGGTGCCTATTTAAGGTACTAAAGCAGACACTGACTGCCAAGTTCTCCCTGCATCCCTCAGTCTCTACCTGTTACAGGGTATGGCTTGCATCCCTACCCTACCCTGAACTAGTCTAGCACAGGGGCTGAACTGCCCTTCCCTATATAATCCAATCATTTTGGTTACCTCTCTCTCTCTCTCTCTCTCTCTCTCTCTCTCTCTCTCTCTCTCTCTCTCTCTCTCTCCTCACCCTCCCTCCCTCCCTCTCTCTTTCGTTTTAAATTTCAAGTACTGGGAGTTGGTAGTTGGTTTCAGGTCCTGGAGCATGCTATGAAAGTTATCTGCACTGAGCTAACACCATAAGCACAGTTTGATTTTTATATAGCTTTCTTAAGTTGTCCAGGCTAACCTTGAATTTGTTATTCTCACCCTTCAGCCTCCTAAATACCTAAGTTGGTGGGCAAATGCATTTATGCTGAGGTAAGTTTTATTGTTTTACCCCAGTTTATAAAGATAGAGTGTTTAGGTGTTCGGGGGTGGGGGAGGAGAAGGAAATAGAGAAATAGAGAGGTAAAGACAGACTGTTGTTGAGAGAGTGGAGTCAGGAAGTAACTTTCTGGAGTTACTTTTCATCTATCATCTTGTGTCCCAGGATTGCATTTAGGTAAACAGGTTTGCATGGCAAGCTCTTTTTCACTGTGAGCCAAATCAGATCTTAAATTTGGTTCTTGTTAGAGGAATTGAAAGGATTAAACTGGACAAGGTAGGTGCCTTTGGTAGGCACTGCTGAGGAATGGTGCTAAGAGAACACAGCATATGCAACAGATCTAGTGTAAGAGGTTTATTGAGATGGGGGAAAGGGGAGAGAAAAGAGTGAAAGGCTGTCTCAGAGCAGCAGCGTGAGAGGGGCAGACAGAATAAACAAGAGAGCAAGAGAGGAGTAAGACGGTAGCAAGAGGAGCAAGTGAGTAACTGTAGCTCACAGAAAGTTTTTTTTTTTTTTTTTTTTTACAAAGGAAAGACACCAGAAAGCCCAGTTCTGAATTATTAGTGGCTCCTCCCCTGAAGTGGCCAGCAACCCAAGTCCCCACCCAAGCATTCCAGCTTTTGTTTTTGTTTTTTGAGACAGGGTTTCTCTGTGTAGTTTTGGTGCCTGTCCTGATCTCACTCTGTAGTCCAGGCTGGCCTCGAACTCACAGAGATCCACCTGGCTTTGCCTCCCGAGGGCTGAGATTAAAGGCGTGCGCCACCACCATCGCCCCCGCTCACAGAAAGTTTTAAGGGGTGCTCATATCACATAGAGAAGTATGAAGTTTGCCTCAGCTAGCAGCAGGAGATGAAGAAGCCATTGCTGCTGCCACCACCAAGGCAGGCTTGTGGGAGCTAACAGGAGTTAAACAGGGAAAGGAAGAGACAGTGAATGACTGCTAAGTTACTGTTAGATCACACAAAAAATGCCTTATACTACTGCAAATTGGGGTAATTATAGACAATGATAATGTACTTTTATGTTTCCAAAAGCTGCAGGAAAGCATTTGGGAAGTTGTCAGCAGAAAGATGCCCTGCCTGCAGGGCTTCAATGGGTTCTCGACCTCCCTAAGGAGGGAATGTAGAGACAGGAGATACAAAGGAAAGACACCAAGTCTGGATTCTGATCAAGGTGCCGATTTATTTCTCTTCCACAAAGGTTTATATAGCTCCACGGGGTGGGGGGAGCAAGAAGCTGTCATCTGCATAAGGTGGGGCAAGCTAACAGGATGTTTGTATAGGATGTTTACAGGGTGAGAGGGTCAAGGGCTCTGACTCAATGTCCTGTTGCTAGGCAACCTGACTGTAAGATGATCTAGTTCCCCATCTTACTGGGGGTCTGTATTTTTCCACTAACTAGAGATTCTGTCCTTGTCCCTGACAGAAAGAGACAAATGTTGCAATGATTGTGACCTGAGGTAAACATCAAATATGTTCACACATTGAAATGTGACAAGGCTACTATTAATGTCCAGTTTGTATTAATTAAATTTAATTTTAATTAAAAAACTGACTCTTCTTTGTATGTAAGACGAATGGTCCTTAGGGTGTGGAGTTATCACTCTAGTTTTCTCAGATTTTCACTTAATTCTTAAAATATGAAGACTTCAGAGAGTCCCATCTCTAGTACCTAGGCTCTGAGACACAACCAGTCCCTGGGAACCCCTACTCATCACTGCCCCAGTTGCCAGCCAACTGGGAAGACACCTGTGAGCAGGCTCCCCCACCAAAATACCCCATTGGACCCGTCAATCTACAAGACCTACCTGTAGCTAGAGTTTTCCTGCCTTGCCCACAGTCAGGATTAATCTTTGTCACCTGCCAGTCCCACAGCTGCTCAGACCCAACCAAGTAAACACAGAGACTTATATTGCTTACAAACTCTATGGCCGTGCCAGGCTTCTTGCTAACTGTTCTTTTTTTTTTTTTTTTTTGTCATTTTTTTTTTTTTTTTTTTTTTTTTTTCCATCACAGGCAATTTATTTTGTTCTATTCATTCACAGTTAATACAGAAAATACTTGGAAACATTTCCATATAATGTTTGACACAGAAATCATCAAATAGAAGTATACAATGTTGACAGGAGGCAGTACATT